GACATAATTTCGGCTCCACAATTTATAATATATGTAATCTTTAACACTATTTGGACATATAATCTCTTAGTTGTAATAAACGCGTACAGCTTTGCGGGCATCAATTTTTTTTCTGTTTTTAAACTTATTTCATTTATACGTAATGTTTAGACATTTAAAAATTTCACGTTTATCTAAACAATAAATTAAAAGCATATAACATAGCAAACCAAATACAAATACATCACATACATAGACGTTATGTATTTCAGCGTAGTTTACCCCAAAATTATTCACATAAGAAAATTAATTTATTTTCAAAAGCATTATGTTAAAATGCATTACCATATAAAGGCTTACGTTTTATAAGGTATTTCTCCCACTTCCCTAGCGTACTTTCGTGGTGTAACGGTAGCACCCTGGGCCGGTATTCCAGAGGTCTGTGGTTCGATTCCCGGCGAAAGCGGTTGTATATTTTTCATCTCTCTAGCTTTCAAAAAATCCTAATGTCTCTACAGTTTTATGAAGGTTTTATAAGTATTAACGTAATTAGTCAATCTTTTTCTAACATGGTATTCTTTCACGTGTTTATTTTTCTGCACATCACTTCAGCAATTAACAAACTAAGTTGCACCAATGGCTAGACGTTTATCAAATATAAAAGAAAATACAATGTGATTAAAATATATAGATACAGTTATACAGCAGTGCAAACGATAAGTACGTAATCTTACTGCAGTATTTATTTTTTTGTGCCTGGCATCAGTTGGTCCAGCTATAACATTTGCCAGTTAACTTGAAATTATTATTAATTTTCTTTTACAGAGATTGGTATCAGTTTCGATTTTATATATCCTTTTAATGGTAAATTCTGGAATAATAATCACATTGCCCCTAATTAATGCCTATTATGAAATATGTTATACATGTCTTAGCTTATTTCCAAGGGATAGAAATCTGTACTCTACACAACTGTGATTGCCAATATATTATTAATTGTAAAATTAGGTCAGAAAGAATTTAAATTGTTATATATTTTGAGTAAAATTTGCTTGCTTTTGCTTTTGTCAAACGAATTTATTACTGAAAAGTGAGATCTACGCCAGTACGTTTTCGAAATCAGACATTTCAGCTTTATTTGAACATTATATGGGACTATCGTGAAATTTAGTCAAATGTAATACTCTACATTGCCGTTTTTTCTTAATATGTCTTTCATTTAAACGTTTAGTTTTTAATCTACTTACATATGCTGTTGTTTAATAAATTTGAATTAAACTTTGCAGTGAGGATAGCGTTTTCAAAGCACGCTATCAAGTATTGTAGCAGACCTTAAGTAGCAAATTTAAAGGCCTATTTAATATATCATAAAATTGAATGATTTGTATACACAGTCGAAAACATTATCCTATGTAAAACAGTTTTTAAGCAAAATAAGTAACATATATTTAAACAGTCTTGAGAAAAAATTATTTATGCTTTTTCATGAGAACTTTTGTAATGTCTCGTTACTCCAGCAACGCAGACATCTGTCTATTAATATATAGTCTCGATAAACGTTTGGGCAATTCATTTTACAATGTCTGTGAGAAATTATGAAAAAACCTTGTTGAAGAAAACGTTTTATAAAACGTGGTGTCAGCGACACCGATAGTCTTTAAGACACGTTATACTGTGACTGTAAAGTTAACTAGAGCTGAGTTCTGTATGGAGATTTGCAATATCGTGTTGAAGCCCTTGTTGCATTCAAAAGAGAACTGATGTCCAGCTGCACATCAAACTGGGCTTAAGCTGTTCTTGAATGCTGCAAATAAAGAGTCAGCGGCTTTGAAATACTTCTTAGATTTTTTTTTCTAAACTACCATCGGAAAACATAAAAGCAGGTACCTTCGTCTTACTCCAGACAAAGAAGTATTTCTTAAATAACTCATCATTAATGTAAAGTATATTATAGGGACATTAAGTTTTAAGGATGAAAGTGCCAGAAAACCTAAGAAACCGGCTACAAACTCGACGTAATTCGAACGATGAATCTTCCAACTCTTCCAACTGCTAGCTGAATGCGCTATACCTTACATCAGTTACATGCAAGGAAAAATGGGATAATTTCTTACAGGCTTTCGAGATGACTTTCTTGTTGTCAAGGCCAAAGACCACTTGATTTTGTGGGCAAACATGTCTGAAATTGATAATGAAATTGGCATCCGAATGCTTCTTAGAACCTTTATAATTGATGTCCAGCCTCACAAAGAGTGAATAACAAAAACATCTGTATACAGGTGACAGGTGACGGAGAACGGGGACGCCTGATGTTTAACAGAGGTAAACAGGCATATGTCCCGCGTCCTCCCCTATCTAGTGGCAGCAACTTCCCAGGAGCCTTCATGAGGCCACCTTGGGAAGTTTATTGAAGAATTTTGCGTAATTGTGCATGTTCATACATAATCTACAAATCATCGCATGACGATTTCGTCTTAAGAATACATTAGTTTTGATCGATAGGCGAATGACTTTGGTACATCTTGGTATGTTAGACACTGTTAATAATACAGCATATACATACATACACTTAATACGTTGCACATATAAAGATACATACAAAACACGTGTAAAACACATATAAAAGCACATATATAACACATATAAAACATGTTAAGCTCATTATAGAATAATAGAAATTAGATATTAGTTTGCACACACTTATACAAGTAAAACATATACTTATAATGAAGCATAATTAAGCTAATATATAACATTATAAAGACACTTAGCTTAGACACATTTAAAGACACATGTAGATCACATCACATGTAAAATGCGCATAAAAAACATACATAAAGCATGCAGGCACACTGTATAATATTAAATTTTGTTATTAGATGATATAGTAATTACAGATGAAACTTTACTCTGGAGAATACATTATGCAATACGTTATATCAGGTACACAATACTTATTTAATTTGAATAGATATGCAGCGCTTTTTATATACATAATGCTTACAGAATTGATACACATGTAAAAACAGATACACTATGCTTGTAAAGCATTAGATATTAGAATTTATACTGCGCACAATTGTACAAACGAAATAAGACACTATACTACTATATACAACACAGTTATGGTGTACAATTATGCAAACACAATTATACTAACGTATTAAAACGCAGAATAAAACACTATACTACGGTATATAACACAATTGTGCACAATTATATAAACACAATTACTTACACATTAAAAAAAAAATCTATAACTATTGTATACACAATTATAGTACGCAGCACCATGCATGCTATGTTGCCAAGCTATATATTTCTATGCGAAGCTATGAGATTATACAGGTAATGCAGATACAATATGATAGATATAGATGAATTATACTCGTATTATGCATATGTCAGATACAGTGCAGATATAATACAGATAGTTTGAGTAATACAGATATGATGTGCAGGCAATAACTGTAGTGGAGACACTATGTTATAGAATGCGCTGAGCTTATTTTATATATATTAGATGCACAGTGTTTATTGGATTAAAGTAGGTACACAGTACTTTTTATATACACATTGCTCACAGAACAAATGCACAGTGCAAAGTCAGATACACAACAGGTTGTAAGGTATTGCAGGTAATGCACACGCAATGTAGATAGTTGCATAGTAATTATATGCTTTATATACAGCAGATACTGTGCAGAATTTGACAAATTCAGTGCAGAATGAGGTGCATATTATTGCAGATAGTTTGTATAACGCGTTTGTGTAATACAGTACTGGCAATGACTGTAGGAGAAACACTATGTTGTAGAATACACAGTGCATATTAGTATTGTAATAGATACATGATGCTTGTTGTATACACAATGCTTACAGAATGGTTACACAATGCAAAGTCGGATACACATTTGTTTTACATGTTCAGTTAAGCATGGACTAGCATGGACATGCAAGTAGTAACCTGTGATTAGTCAGTGTTGAGCTCTGTACACTGTTGATAGTTCTGTACACGATTTGTCAGGGCGTTCCAATTACTCTGCGCACAGTACCTTATACACTGATATATAACTTGCAGTTGTTGTAATAACTGTGGTTATTCCAGGAAATACTTCTATAGATATTTCAGTCGTTGTAACTACTATGAACAGTAGTTGTAACTACAAGATGCAGGTAATGCAGTCTGTTCATAGTCAGTAGTTTGCTCTATACGTTGTAAGTGAGTACTGTACGCAGTAAGCAGCTATGTCTCTTAAAAAAAGCAAAAAAAAAAGTACTTCATGCGCTGTAGGGACATTTCAGCGGTTATATATACATGTTTGTAGTGTACAGTGCAGTTATGTTATAAGCGCAGCACATAATTTAAACATATTGTAAGTTGCATTCAGCTGATTGTCAGTATAAGAGACTGTCAGAATTCTTTTGATGATTTGGTAGTGAAAGCTGACTGTGGTTGCTTTATGAGACGCTATAATTGACGCTAGTTTGGTTGGCAGATATCTTGCCCTAGGGCGTTTACCTGCCTAATTATTTGGCAGATCTTTTTGACCGCTGGTGGGTGCTTAAGGATGAATCGTTTATGATTCTATATTTGTGGCTGGGAGTGGTAGGTGTAAGTTGGATGTAAGGCTGCATTCAAATATGTAGTGGTCGGGGGAGCCAGTTGCCCCGCAGACGCCTATATCTGTCATCGAAATTGCATGTCTTTGAAAAATAGGATGGAAATGGACCGTGCCCCGTGATATAGTATGTCAAGGGTGCAATGGCCTGGAGGACGTTCGTTGTCTACTATTGGGTAGAATCCATGTGTCCTTCTTCCTGTATCACAGTTATCCCACTCCTGTTGCACTGTTCTTGCTTAGTTCTCTTAGCGCTTCGCTTATACGAAGTCGGGATTGGAGTTGTCACCTCTTGCGCGTCATTGTTGAGTGCCGCCTCGTTTGCTAACTGGTCTGCCATCTCGTTACCCTCTACGCCAATCATGTCCTTTCATCCCAGATTAGTCTTGATGCGTGTTTTCAGATTGTTACGCAAGGAGCTGTTGGATTGCTATAATTGTGGGTGAGGTATGGTGGTGATTCATGATTGCCTGTAGCACTGACATGCTGTCTTGTGTGAATTTCGGTTGCTGCTAGATTAATGCCCAGAGCATACTTACTTGCAGCTGCTATTGCCACAGCTTCCGCCTGGAAAGTGGTGTTGTGAGTAGCGAGATGGCCTTTCCATTTGCTTTCCCCTCGGTCATTTTTGAAGTGAACGAAGGCGCATCCCACTCCATTGTCATGCTTTGATCCGTCGGTGCAAAATCGAGAGTTCACATGTGGAGTTTCTCTGGGAGGCGTTGGGTGCTGTGCTGTCACAACATGGATGCCTTTACTTTTGTGTGCCGGGTGCACATACTGCACACTCCCTGGTAATTCATACTGTGTTGCATGGAAGGCGGTGCCAGCAAAGTTGGCATCTTGTTTTAGCCTAATTAGGCGCTCATATGCAGCTTCTATGCTGGCCTTTATGTGCAGGGGTGTTAGTCCCGCAAGGACCGTTATTGCACTTGATGCCGTTGTCCTATATGCCCTACTTATGTTTAGAGCAAATGGCCGTTGTATTGTTGTCAGGAGTTTGATCTTGCGACTGCTCATTGGTTGCGCCCATATAGCCGATGCGTAAAGAACAATTCTCTCCGCTACCGTTAGATATAGCAGTTTCTGGATGTGAGGGTTTTGCCCCCAGTTGCTTCCCTGGAATTGTCTGGCTTTCTTAGCTATATTTGCTGTCTTGACTCTGATGTCTTGAAGGTGGGGCAGCCATGTGAAGACCCTGGATCCCATGTAACTCCGAGATACTTTATGGTTTTTGAGATCTTTAGATTTCGTCCCATCAATTTTATACATGGCCGTCGCGTTGGATTAGTTCTTGGTCGTGGGATGAACTACTGCCGTTGACTTTCTGTGCAGGAAATGATCAATTTAAGTCTACTGCATTTATCTGAAAATATGGAACAGGTTTCCGTACCATTTCGTTCGAGTTCTTCTCTTGTGCGGCCAGAGACTAGCAATGTCCGCATCATCTGCATATGCTATCACTCTGGTATGGGTAGGCCATTTGATTTGTAATAAGGAATTAAACGTGATTATCCACAGTAGAGGCCCGGCACATGAGCCCTGTGGGCACCCTCTTTCCTGCTGTTTAGTGACGACACCGTTATTATTGACTATAATTAGACTTCTGGAGTGGAGATAGTCAGTGAAGATATTAAAAAGATTTCCTTGGACACTTTGCCTCCCTGAGGGCCTGCTTTATTGCAGGCCACCAGAGGGTATCAAAGGCACTTTGAAGATCTAAAGAGATAAATGCAGTATGTAGATTGTTGATTCTGTTGTCGTTTATATGTTTTCGAATGTGTTCTAGAGCATGGATGGTAGATGTGCCTGTCCTGAATCCATATTGATGTGGGCTAAGAAAGTTTTGTCGGTATAGATGGTGCTTTCAGCCTGTTGACTAGCAGTTTTTCGTAGATCTTACCCAATGCAGATAACAGACATATGGGTCTAAAGGATCTTGGATCTTCCGGGGATTTATGCTTTTTTAAAAACAGGACGACCTGTCCTTTTTGAATGCAGTAGGGAAGATTTGACATCGTAAAAGCTTGTTAAACAGAGCTTTAAAGTAAGTGGGTCGAGCGTTGAAGGCGACCTTGATTATTGCATAATCTAGGCCGTCAGGGCTGATGCCTTTTTGACTGGAAGCTGTCGAAAGATTTGTTTGATCTCTTCCATTTCAAATGGTTCGTCGTCTGAAGTCTCTGGGATAGTGGTGTTTCCCCTTGTGTGCCGTTATTCTGGCGTGTCATCGTCCGGGTCATCTGCTGGGAAGACTGTGTTTAAGGTTGTGGCTGCCGTGGATTCTGCTATGTTGGTGGTAATGGGTTGGTTGGCAATTTGGGCATAGAGTTGATCCGGCTTAAAGACCTTGTTGGTGGCAAGCTTGTGCAGAACTTACGCCAGCTGGTTATTTTGGCCTTAAGGATATTATTTTTATAATGCGCTCTTTCCTTCCTAAAGGTTGCTAGTATTGCATTCTTGGTGGCTTCGTTAATGTTGGTGCGAAGGCGACGTCGTAAAGCCCTGCACTTTTGCCGTTGCTGTCGCAGTTCCTTTGTCCACCGGGAAATTCTTTGCAAACGTTTTGCTGCCCTGGTGGGCGGTGCTGATCGCAAATGCTCCGTAGAGTGTCAAGCAGCCGCTCGGTATAAGTGTTTAGATCATTGGGGCTCTTGTATTGACTTAGCTCCTGCTCTTCTTGCTGTAATGTTAGAGAGAAAGCTTTGGTAATTACTCGCAATTTGTTACCCGGAAGTTTGTATCTTTTAAAGATGCTGATCCTTGTGTCGCTTGCAATACTGAAGTGTATGTAGCGATGGTCCGAGCAGCTCTCCTCATCCGCTACCAACATCTGTATACAATAAAACAAACTAAAAAGTAATAGAAGCAAACTTAGAAATAATGAACGTTGAGTGCTGAATCAGTAATGAACAGCAAAATTTGCAGCCGAGGCAGATTAAAATAGTCATCTTTTATTTCAACTGCCATTTTTAGCCACAAATCATGCCTTTTCAAGAACATTTACATTTTTGAAACTGTTGCGATAGGAAGTGAGCAGCGAAACAACATCTTAGCGAGAACAGAGGTAGAGGCAAAAGTGCGCAGTTATTCCAATATCGCAGCTTATTAAGTTTCAGTTTAAGTTCCGAATTAGCTACGTCATATGACATGGACTGATCTAGAAATGACGCAATGAGAAGCAGCTGTTACTATTTTTAGAAAGAGATGGGATATACCCAAATTAAAAATGAAGAATTAAGAAACTATTCCTAATTTAAACTATAGTTTACATATTTTTAATCTTACATGTATATACTTTTATAAACTATTTGGGCTAAAAAAAATAAATATGCGATGCTTTTTCAGAAAAAGTCCGATTTCGTATCCGAATACCTATGTTAGAACAATTTTAACTATGTATAAAGCTAATATAGTACATCCTAAGTCGCGCTTTCGAGGCATGAACGCGCAAGTTAAATTTCGTCAGTCGACTCTGTAGAACTGTATAATTGTTTGTTTTTTTCCTCTTGTGCAAAATGTACATACTCGTCTGCCAGAATATTATAATTTTGTACTTTACATTAACGTATTCAGACATTTACATTAACGTATTCGTATTAATGTATTAAAATCATTTACTATTTTCATGAAATAAGGTAAACCTGCAAATATTGTCCCTTTATTCTTAAAGTTTTGACAGAATACTCTTTTATCCTTTAACCTGTATATTATTTTTCTTTAACCTGTGAATTCTATCATCAAACAAATGTTGATGTTTAATCGGGAAAAAAGAAAAAAGGCTAAAATTTTTGTCTTAAAGTCATTTATCTGTTTTCAAAATTTCAAATTCTTGTGAGTTCTTTCCAGATAATATCCTGAATTATTGATTCTGTTTACAGAAATTCTCAGATGTTAGTAAGTATGCCTTCGTTTGTGAATATAATTAATCGGAAATCATAATAGGCGTATGTAAGCCAGAATTAAAAAACTACAAAAGCTTTCATATAGGAATGAAAACGTTTTTCATGTTTTAAGTTTCGGTATACACTCTTATTAAATATTTGCGTATGATAAAGCGACGTCATTCATAAACGAAATTTGTTATTGCGAAATTTAAATAAATTCTAAAAATGAAAAATGAAAAAATTGCGAACAATATCTGGAATCATAATGCATAAATCTGTAGAAAATACGTGCTACTTATTTTGTTACAAAACTCTGGATGTTCAATATTATTAAAGGAACTGTCGTAAACTTCATGCTTAACAAAATTCAAGAATATCTGAATGTGGTAAAATTTTTCATAGCTTTTCTCTGAAATTTTAAACATGGATTTCCTTTTATTCCCATCTCAAAGGAAAAATATAAGTTTCAGTTAATTACAGAGCGTAAAGGGGTTTAAAATCTAAAAATATTTGAAAATATTAAATGCATGTGGATTTTTTCCCAAATTCTATTTACATAGCTTTTTATCTTTGATCAAGAAGTCGACTTTCATAAACTTTAAAAATATCGTTAATTTACTAACATTTGGGAAAAAAGAAAGAATTCAGTGCCTACACATACATGAACTTCCTTCCAATTCCCAGCATCATTCTCGTATTGTTGGAACAAAACAAAGAATTCAGTGTCTAACACATATATAGCATTCTTTCTTTGATTCCCAGCACCATTCTCGTATGAGTAAATTTTATCAGAAATTCGACTGTGAAGGCGAGGAATTGCAAAATGAGAGCAGGATATCAGTTCATGATACTTAATCTCCAAAACGAATTCCCATGGTGGAGCAACGAAATCCTTTTAGATGTTAAATACCTGAATTAGTTTAGTTTAATAATATAAGGCAAAGCATATGAGGGTTATTTGTTTTGTAGAAAGAATGCCTTCGAGGACTTTCGGAAGAATATTGGCTCTTATTCACATTATATACAGCAAAAAAAATCACAAAACTATCACGCAGCCAGCAAGTTTGCAGCTATTCCAACCCTAATAAAAATGCTGTTTTTGTTGCTTACTGAGCATCAACCCTAATAGGTCCAATAATTTATGATGGCAAAAATGCAAAGGAAAGTGTCATTGGCCAAAGCCTTGTAGACTTTATAACTGAAGATATGAGTTTGTCCAGTTCAGCCTCAGCTTTGATGAAGAACATTCCGGGAGGCGAATGCAATGTTCACTACCGCCAGCTTCTTAAGACTGTATCGAAATATCAGCGCTCAAAAGTTTTATCCACTGGGCCTTCGGTAGGTATTGAATAACTGAGAGTCTTTCTGAATGACGAGTATAAAAAAATTGTTACATACACATTTAGGTCTAAAAATATTTTTTTTATTTTGGTTTAAACAACTTTTCGATCATTCTGTGTATTACGCTAAAATATTCACACAAAGATCTGTTAACAGCAATGGACAGGCTGCATCGTATAGGACGTAACCTGTGAACACTGTGCTTCTAAACAGATAAGATAAGAATGCCTTGCTTAGTAAATAATGCAATTAAACTTGAAAATATGTTATATTCCTACGTGAGAAATATACTAATAAATATATTATTTTAGATCACAGATATGTTTCACCCATAAACGAGACCATTCACAAATTGAAAGGAAAAAGTTTTTCATTTGTAATAAAAAATGCAATTGTTGTTTTTATCATGATCATCTATTCCAGCAAAAGAAATCATGTATATATTCATGTATAATATGTAAAATTTCTGTTAGACGCCAAATTATGTAGAAAGTCTTTTCTTTCTAAAGATAACCTCTACGATTAACAAATTCCAGGGTGATGTATATAATATATTATATACATCACCCAGAAGTACAAAAAAGGCATGAAGTATTTTCTAAAATGGTTTACACAACTCTAATTTTATTGACAACATTCATTTAAATAACAGCGTCCCCTTTGTGCGACGGTTAAATGTCTAAAGAAATTTGAGCATTGACATATAAAGTGTGGCGTAAACCAAAGTCGTGTGTAAACCCGATACTGTAGTGCCTTTCATTTTAAATAAGACTTTGATAAACTTCAGTGTCTCTTCTGTAGTCTCTAAAGTCCTAAGGATTCCGAGCACGCAAAATCCGAAGTAAGAGAATCCTCATTTACATGCGATTGGCTGAGAAGAGTAGCATGCAAATGAGATCGGTTTCACCCACTTCGCTTGCAACAGAATGTCCGAAGGAAAGTTAGAGGAATATTTAAGTGCTGAGAAAAGTTCTCCGTCTAGCTTTCCGATGTTTAGTATCCAGTCAGCAATTTTATCCGCAGAATCGAATGTTACAACTCAAA